TGGTGCTGGGGGATTGAACCGCGGTCCCTGATGCTTTGCTAAGCTTGTTCTAAGTAGGTGCTTTAGACCACTGAGCCATCTCTCCAGCCCCAGATGCTATATTTGAAAGTTTATCTGTAGGGCCTTCCTCTCTTGGTGCTGGGTTGTATTTTAGTAACTTACATGTTGGATAAATGGACTTTTGCAGGCTTCTGCTCACATCGGCAATCCAGCTCAGGCTGCTGTGAGAGATGCAGCGGCTGGGCGATCCGCAGATAGAAAAGCTCAGTAGCCTTATCATGAGGACCCAGCAAGAGACTGACCAGCCGAGAACCTCAGTTTCTGCCACGGCCACAGGTCCAGGTCTAGAGGAACAGCAGGCCTGGGACCATCCATGCAGCGCTGCAACAGGACACTGTAATAAATGAACTGTCCTCTCCTGTGGCTTCAGATTCTTAAACATGCTTCCTTTTCTGTTGGAGGCATTCCTTTTCTTTGCTGTTAGATCCAAACTTAGATTTATTTCCATATTACTCTCTGCTTTGTGCACTTTATGGGCGAAAAAGCTAAAGGAGAAAACGGAAATGCAGCTTTTAAGTCTCTTATGTGCCACTTAGTGCCTTTTCAGACAAAATACATGCTTTTTGTGGACCTGGAGGGAAGGGATGGCGGATAACCTCATGAAATATGCTGTCTAGAAGTGAAACTTGTCAGTTCTTTTACACTTCTTGAGAAGAATTCCTTTTTAAAAAGTTTACAAAACTTGGAAAAACTTCAGAGCTAAAGATTAACTGAAAATTAATTGTACCTTAAAGATCTTACTTGTAATGTTGGTATGTGTTTGTTATATAATGTGGTAAAATCATATGTTAATGTACCATACCTGATACGCTGGCAGTTTTATTGAACGTAGTCTCTCTCTCTCTCTCTTTTTTTTTTTTTTTTTTTTTTTTGGTTGCTGTAGCTTCTTTTCAGAAAAGAGGCAGATGTGCCTTGAAAAGCTAGAGTGGCTCATAGTGGAAGGAATTAATTACTTTAAAGAAGAAGCTCATTTTGAATGAACTGGTGACCTTCAATGAGTCATTAGAATTTGTGCCTTGGTCAGAGCCACTGTGGGTTTCTATATGTTTATGTATTACACACGACTGTCAAAATTTGCCATTTGACAGGTTTTGTTTTTGAGAGTTGTGTGTAAGTACAATACTAAGGGTTAGAGAAAATATATTACCAGCTATTACTGCCTTTAATTAATCCCCTATTTCATGGGATTTAACAGAAATTAGTACATAGCCCATTTAAGGTCCCTGCTCAAACTTTATTCTCTATGCACTGATGTTCTTAATGAAACTAAAATTGTTTATTTAATGACTCTAAATTTACTTCTCACCAGTCAGGTAGCTTTAAAACAACTTTGGTTTAGGAAGGACCAGTGTCATACCCAAATAGAGACAGTATCTCGAAGTATCTACGAATTCTTTTTGAGAAAATTTACTATGATTGTATGATTAAAAAATTTTGTTAGTTGTTTTTCCCTTTGATTTATAATGAATTATTGAATGAATTTAAAAACTTCTTGAAGTTTTTCTACAAGTGTTGATATAAATATTCAGGTATCTGAATGTCTTTATTTTGAAACAATTTGAATTTTGCGGGAGAGAAATAGGAAGGCTTAGCAAAATCTGTGTATTTCATATATATGAAATTTGGATGGAAGGTGGAAAAAGAAAGTCTCTTCTAGCATTTAATCTCAGAGTTTTGTTTAATAACACTATACTACTCACGTTGTAAGTCTTGAGTTAAATCTAAGCATTTTATATATTTTCCCATTTACCTCCCTAAAATGGTTGCTATTTTATTCAGTTTTTGTTACATTTTAGAAGAATTCCAGCTTGTTCTAGAAACTGTTCACTTAGTTAAACTAATGAGCAAAGCCAGGCTTTGAGCTAATGAACTGAAGCTTTTGGATTATTGGTGCCTTTTCCAGTGGCTTCTCATCTCTGTGAAGATTTTTTTCTTACTAGCAGCTCTCACAGATACTGAGATAATTAATTTTGAAGACATTTGTAAGTAAATTTATGGATTTCAGAATAATTGTCTAAAATGGTCCCATGAGAATAGATGATGCAACTAAATTTCATCCTAAAACTAAAGTGTTCTCTAAAGAAAGTGAATTTACAATTTAGTAGTCTTTGGATGGTGTTTCTATTCGCCTTATAAAAGGATAACGTTGGTTTAATGACTCCAGGGAAGCTTACTCTTTTCTGTCTTTGTGACTTACTCTGCTTCTGGAAAATATTTATAATGTTCTCAGGCCTTCTTTCTGTTTTAACAATAGAAGATGATTTTATACCAACTTTTCCAATGAAAAATGCTTTCTCATTGCTGGCTATAGTCCTGGGGAGATTTATTCCCAGATTGTGAAGAATATTTTTGCCTGTCAACATCTCTAGCCTTTTTATTGTGGTCAGGAATATTGAATAGAAGTCAGACTGCAGATACTTGCTGCTCAGGTACTTGTGGGAGACCTTCTATGCATACACCATTAATTTACACAGTCCCGTTAATATGGGGAACACATTTCTATGAATATAAATGGAGATTTAAAATTTTTTCCACTAAAATAACTTTTTTTTTTTTTTTTTTGGCTGGCCCAGGCTGCCTTAAGGGAGGGTCTGGTGGGGGATGTAGAGCTGGGGATTGAATCCCTGTCCCCTGCGCCTCACTAGGTTTGCCCAAACAGGCTCTTAAACAACTGAGCTAACCTGCAAACCCCTTAAAATAACTTTTTAAGAGAAGTTAGCCACAGATGGTGACACACATCTATAATTTCAGCCCTCAGGAGGCTGAGGCAGGATGATCGCTGTGAGTTGGAGGCCATCTTGGGCTTCAAAGTGAGGTTAAGCTCAGCCTGAACTGCATGGTAAAACCCTGCCTCAAAAAAGACACACACACACACACACACACACACACACAAAGTTCAGCATTGCCAAGTTTTTTTGAAAAGTACTTCCAGTTTGTTTGTTTGTTTCTTTTCTTTCTTTCTTTCTTTTTTTGGCTGGCTCAGCCCACCCTGAGGACAGGACTGGCACAGCATGTGGTGCTGAGCTGCTGTCCCCTGCTCTGCAAGGTCCTGAGTTCAGTCCCAAGTATTGCAAAAGAAAAAAAAAAAAAGGCCGTGGTCCCTTGTACCTGCCTAAGCTTGCCTAAGCGGGCGGTTTAGACCCTGAGCTATCTCGCCAGCCCCTAATTTGTTTTTTATAATAAAATTAATAAAATCAAAAGTTACGGGGCCAGGGAGATGGCTCAGTGGAATAAGCGCTTCCCTGGCAAGTGCAAGGGCCTGAATTCGATCCCCGGTTCCACAAAAAAAAAAAGAAAAAAGAACAAGCAAAAGTTATGGTTCTTTCCCTGAGAAATCTCTTTAGGTTTAAGATGGTGAGGACAAACTATCATGTATGATGATGAAATATCTTTAGAGTCTTTTTTTTTTTTTTAAACAGGAAAATGCTGTGTAGTTCAGACTGTCCTTGAACTTCTGGCAGTCCTCCTGCCTCAGCCTCTTCCTGAGTGTTAGTATTACAACTACATGCCATCATGCCTGGTCCATGGAGGTTTATGTTTTAATACCCTTATCTGTTGTGTTTTTTTTTTTTTTCTTACTTTGAGCAAATTTTTAATAAAAATACTGCCTTGTGTTTGCAGTTGGGTTTTTTAGTAGGTCACACACAGTGTTCTACCTGGCTTAGGAATTTGTTTCCTAGGGAAGAGTAAATTTGGATGAATATGTGAATGTGAATTATAGGGAAATCAGGTTGATTTTAGTCCTGGCAAAGGCAATAAAACAATGTGGTTTTTCCTAGGGTTTAATAAGAAAAATTATGAAACCTTTTTTTTTAAAATGGTGGAACTTACATAGAAGTCATATGGAACCACTTTCATTTTCTTTCTTGTTTTTTGAGACAGGGTCTCACTATGTAGTCTAGGCTGGCCTCAGACTCATGGCCATCCTCCTGCTTCAGCCTCCCAAGTGCTGATATTACAGGAGTGCACCACTACCCCCGGCTGTTGTGTTTGTTTCTTTAGAACTATTTGAATATAATTTTGGAAGACTTGATGTTTCCATTGAAAGTAGCCAACATGGGCTGCATTATTATAGTTTATATATTTTTTAATGTTTATTTTATTAAAGCATAATAACAATGCAAGATACATGACCATACAATCTCATTTGGACAACATCTAGTTTATATTTCATCTAATAAAATTTTATTCTGCATAGGAAATATAAAATTTATTTCCTAGGGAAGAGTAAATTTAGATGGTTAACTTTTAAAAATGTCATTAGAAAAGATATTTGCAGCTGAATAGTTGTCCTCATCATGATAGGTCATATTGCACTTAAATTTTGGGCAGTGATTTTTCATTTACTTTGGAGTACATTGGACTTACCTACAAGGTTTGTTTAAAAATTCAGATTCCCAGAGCTTGCCTCAGGTGGCCTAAGCTGTGGCCCTGCAATCTTCACTTTTATAAACATTATTGTAAGTGATTCAGAGATAGCACAGGGACAGCTACTCCATGAAATGGGAGTTAGCTGTGGGAAAATACCAGTCAGTATTGTCTGGGGCAAGTGGACAGCTTTTACCTGAGGTTTAGGATGGGCAATCTACAGCCAGTTGAGACCACTACCAGTTTACTCTGTTCAGAGTAATAAAGGTGCCTTTGATTCAGAGGGCTATCTAAGCTGTCAAAGGCTGTCTTCCATAGTTGTCATATGGCCTTCTGGAGAAAAAGAATGTAGCAAGTATCCTGTTTACTAGCAGATGTAATTAGGATCTTAAGGAAAAGCAGTTTTGATAATTGTTTTTCTTTAAAGCCAAGGGACCCAGGGTATAGTGCAGCCTCATAGTGCCTGCCTAGCAACCATGAGGTCCTAAGTGTGATTCCTGGTACCAAAAGGGGTGGGGGTGGAGGCAAATTCAGTACTGTGACTTGAATCCCTAAATTGTACCCACAAAGAAAATCTTAAGCCACAAATACAGTGAACAGCAAGGAAGAACTGGACTGTAACTTGGTAATTAGTAATCTGAGTACCTGATAGCAAGAACTTTTCAAAGAAAGTTTTGTTTGGAAAGGAATTTCATGTGCCAGAGATAAATAGTGCTTTTACAACCAGGCGGAGATTGCATGGATTCTCAGAGCTGTCTAACTCAGATGAATAAAAGCTGTCATATAAGCCTTAAAGGAGTTCTTAAATATACATTTTCCTGGGTTTTTCTTTCAGTTTTCTTAATAAAAAAAGCTTAGTTAAATGTACTTTCTGCTATAACCTTGTCTTTAAATAGCTTTAAAATTTAATATAGTTTTTAAAAAACGCAGTGGAGTGAAATGCTATTAGTATATTAAGAAGCATGTTTCTGTTTCACGTGTAAGATCATTTAATGGAATAAAGATCACAGTATGATACCTGTGTTTTTCTTTATCATGGGCAAAGATCTAATGAAGGGAAGGGGGCTTGGCAAAGGGATTGACTCTCTGAGGGAGAGCATGTCTTCTGAGTTAAAGGTGGTGGCAGTAGGTGGCATTTAAAACTGAAGTCAGTTTTTTTCATCCTGCAAAACAATACTGAACTAATACTGAACTAGCATCCCACAGTACTGAGGCTGGCTGTGCTATTGGCTGAAGTGCTTAAAAGTGCATAGAAACTTGTTGGCACCATGGACTTGTGAGGACCTTTGTATTTGTAGCGCTTTTCTTTAGTTGGTCTATCTGGAGCCATGGGTTAAGCAGTTCTCTTTGGAGGTGGTGAGGGCTGGAAGTAAAGCTCTGCAGAAAGCTTTTCCTCGGGGCTGGAGAGATGGCTCAGTGGTCTAAAGCACCT